AAAAGAAAAAAGAAAATGTAAGTGCATGTCGAAATACACTCGTTTGTGCGTAAAAACACAATGTCGGCAAAAAAAGGAAAATAATTTCATGCACACGTAATTGAGTTAGAAAATTTATAATGTTTTTTAAAATAAAAATAAAAATATATAAGCATATCAAGATTTTTTTTTTGAACATTATAAATCGTAAAAAGAAAGATCGAGGTAATATAAAACGTCGAGTAGTGCCTTACGTGCAATAGTCGTTTAAATGTTCTGAAAATCTTACTCTTCTTCCAGAACGCGTCGTTTCAAGTTTATTTTCAGATACATTCGAGGTATCATCGCGTGTGTTGGTTATCGGTTGAGAAGTTATGAGTGTAGGAGTCGTGTTGTGCGATTGTACCGAAGGGAAATCGACGTGAATAGGATTTCCTTCTAAATACGCTGTCTTTAAGCGATCGATGCTGATGCTATCGTTTGTTCCGTTCTTATCGACTATATAGTACTTAGATTCACGTTGAAGAACTTTGAAAGGTCCATCGTATGCTGATTAGAATGGTCGTCGATGCGAGCCCTGACGAATGAAAACGTGTGTACTATATTGTAAGTCAGGTTGAACGAAAACATCGGTTGATTGTGGTCGAGTGGAAGCAGGTTTAACCGAACGCATTGCGTTTGTAAGCCTGTTTGTGCAGGAGGTTAGATCCATGTTCATTGAAGAGGATGAAGGATCCACGAATTCTCCTGTAAGTCGAAGTGTCGTTCCATAAACGAGTTAAGCTGCAGTGTATTCAAAGTCAGCTTTCACTGCACTGCGAATACCTAGTAAAACGAGTGGAAGAGCATCGGTCCACTGTGAAACGTTTGCAGCTGAAAGTGAAGCTTTTAGTTGTCGGTGAAAGAGTTCTACCAACCCGCCTCCTTGTGGGTGGTAGGCAGTCGTTCGGAAGCGAGTGATTCCTAAAAGTTCAGATTCAAACTGACGTCCGCGGTCTGTAATGATGGTTGAAGGGCCGCCGAAGTTTGCAACCCATCGTTCGACGAAGGCGCGGGCCACTGTTTCAGCAGTGATGTCCTTGATAGGTACTGCTTCTGGCCATTGAGTGAACCGGCCTACGCAGGTTAAGAGATAAGAGTATCCATTTGAATCTGGCAAAGGTCCCACCAAATCCAGATGAAAATGGTCGAAACGAGCATCGGGAATTTTAAATGAGCCTAAGGAACATTTATTGTGTCTGATAACCTTAGGTTTTTGGCAGCTTACACAGGAGCGTGCCCACCCCGTCACGTCTTGCCAGGCCAGCAAAACCGTTCTGCTATAAGCTTGATGGTTGCACGAACACCTGGATGAGAACGTTAGTGCAAAGTATTGAAGACGTTGCGTCGATAACGTTTCGAAACGATTGGGCGATCCCTACCTGTAGATGTGTCACAAAGTAAGGTTTCCTTACCTGTTCCCATCTGTTTGATGCGTAGTTTGAGGGTTGTAGACGAAAACTCGTGCTTAAGATCAGTGTCTTCTGTTTGAAACTGGGCGAGTTTAAGAAGGTCGATTCCTTGGAAACTGTTCAAGGAAGTTATGCGAGACAGGACGTCTGCAGCTACATCATTTGCTCCAGAGATGTGTTGAATGTCCGAAGTAAACTGCGAAGTGTAGTCCAGTTGTCGAGACTCACGAGGTGAATACCTGTTTGAAGAGGAGCTTAACGAGAAAGTAAGAGGTTTATGGTCAGTGAAAAGGGTGAATTCACGACCTTCGATGTAGTGTTGAAAATTTCGTACAGCACAATACATAGCTAGGAGTTCCCCACCGAATGTGTTGTACCTCGATTCGGTGTCTAGCAACTTTCTAGAGAAAAATGCCAAGGGTTGCCAGGAGTTGTTAACCCAATGTTGTAAGACTCCTCCGATTCCTGAGTCGGATGCGTCTACTGCGATGCTAATGGGTGCTCGGGTGTCCTGATGTGCAAGCATTGTTGCTTTAGCGATGAGTTCCTTAATTGTGGCGAATGCTTTTCGTGCAGTGTCGTCCAAATTAATGGATTTCGCATTTCCACGAAGTTGGTCGGTAAGAGGCTTCATGAATAACGCGTATTTAGGTATGAATCGTCTATAGAAACTTACAAGGCAGTTAAACGTTCGTAGTTGCTTGACGGTGGTCGGTTCTGGGTAATCCAAAATGGCCGCCACTTTGGTCCTAAGGGGTCGAATGCCTTGAGCATCGATAGTGTGTCCTAGGAAGTCTAACGAGTCGGTTCCGAATTGGCATTTCTGAACGTTTACAGTTATGCCATGTTCTTGAAGTCGTTCGAAAACAAGATCCAGATGCTTGAGATGTGATTCTCTGTCCGGACTTGCGATTAGGCAGTCATCAACATACTCATGTACGAAGTTGAGACCTCAAAAACGTCTTGTATGAACCTTTGGAATGTTTGTGCAGCATTTCTTAGACCGAAAGGCATTCGCAAAAATTCATAGACTCCAAAGGGAGTAATGACAGCTGTTTTCGGTATATCGTCTGTGGCCATAGGGATTTGGTTATACGCTTTAACCAAGTCGACTTTCGAAAAAACAGTTGTACCTTTCAAGGTAGCTGTCAAATCGTGAATGTGAGGCAACGGGTAACGATCGGGAATGGTTTTCGCGTTCAATCGCCGATAGTCACCAGTTGGACGCCAATCGTTGCTGTCCTTTTTGTGGACCATGTGAAAAGGAGATACATCTGTGCTATTTGATGGTCGTATGATTCCTAAGCCTATCATGTGATCGAACGCGTTTTTCGCCAACCTTAGCTTTTAAGGGGCTAGTCGTCGTGCTTTAGAGAATACAGGTGGTCCTGTAGTCGTGATGTGATGTGTAACGTTGCTGGTTACACACGGTAGTTTCGGTTGAGTTTGTTGTATCCCAGGGTACTTATCGAGTAGTGGTTGATAGAGTGGGTCTATCATATGTTTAACTGTGACTGGGGATACTCTACAACCAGTAAAAGAAGTTACGCAAACGGACAAATTAGTGTTCCCGTCTACTAGCCTCCGTTTGCGCGTGTCGATGATCAGATTATGGTGTTGTAGAAGATCCATACCAATGATTGGCATAGAAACATCTGCAACAACGAAAATCCAGTGGATGGGTTTGCGTAAACCCACGTTAAGGTAAACGTACCTTTTGCCATACGTAGCGATCGGTTTTCCGTTTGCCGCCTGTAAGTTTAGGGTCGATTCGTGAAGTCGGTCGTTGGGATTCGCTGGGAGAACGCTAACTTCTGCGCCAGTGTCGACGAAGTAGCTAACTCTCGTTGTCACATCTGTGACGTACAGCAGACGGCTATGTTCGCCGGCTACGGTTGCCGTTAACGCGTGCCGGCTTGGAAGTTTCCCGAGTTGTTTTTCGTGTCAGTCGGTTTCGTGTTGGGAAAATTGCAGGGTTTTCTGCAATTTCTGGAAGACTTTCCATACTGGTTATGATACCAGCACCAGTCGGGATTATCCGTCTCTCGTGGTCTAGAGACAGATCGCTTACGTAAAGTGCTTCTACGTGGGGTGTGTGATCGCTTACGGTCGTTGCGAAAATTAAGATAACGCGTAAGTGTATGACATAACTCGGTTATATCATTCTGAGTCGTTTGAGGCTGTTCTTTGATTAAAAAAACCTCGGTAGTAGATTTCGTAATTTCTGAAATACAATCGGCCGATGCAGCCAGTTCGTCTAAGGCGTTGTTCTAAAACGAGACCAGAACCGCTTGCATCTTTTGGGGAAGTTTAGACAAGAAGAGTTGTTTGAATAGGCCTTCGTCGAAAGTTCTTAGGCCAATAGCCTCTCTCATCCTTTGCAACATGTCCGTCACAGAACCGTGTTGCAGGTCTATGTTATTAAAGAGTTGGTCTAACCTTTGTCGATCGGTTAGGTCTCCTCGTTTAAGAATTGAACGTTTTAAGGTTTCGTACGATTCAGAAACATCACTAGTAAACATACTGGGTGTTACGTACCTGTTGAATTCCCGCGGTAGTGCCTTGACTACTGCGAGGAATTGTGCACGTGTGTCGTTCACGCCGTGCTCGTGGAAGTCAGCTTCTGCGTAGCAGAACCAGGCTTCGTTATTGTCGGCCCAGAAAGGCATGAGTTGGAACGAGGGTGGGGATATGGTTTTAATCTTAAATACCTTAGGAGTCTGTTCGGTCATAGGGGAATACTAAGTACGAGAATACGAGGGAAAAATATATAGATATCCCGAGACACGGGGAAAAATATCACAATGTATAAAAAATTAAAATAAAGCAATGATATATAGAATCCCAAAATGGAACAGACTCACAGTTTACGATTTGGTGTATCAGATCACGTCGGGCTCACCAATGAAGATGGCACAGGTATTCAGTATTTGACAACGCTTTTACCAGTAACACCTTCCAATATAACTCGTACTCACCAAGAGGAATCAAAAGACAGAATTGAGGGGATTAGAAGTTGTATTTGACGATTGCCAATGTATCGGAACTATCTGATCTAATCTGGCTAGCGATTGCAGTAACAGTTGAGCACGCCGTTCCCACACGTGATCTGGTGCGGATGCATGACCGAGCGCCTTCAGCTGGGTGAGTCCATTAAAACATATGGTCAGCATCCAATGTCGACAAATTACAGAGCTATTTATTCTGGGGAATTACTTACCGCTACAGGAGTGTTAACGAAGGCGTCGGACGAACGCATATGTTCCATATACGTGTTTTTCGGTTATATATCACGAGGGTGTGGTAAAAGAGAAGAACAAATAAAAGGTTGAGAAGAAGAACAAATAGCGTTCATGACTAGTGAAGCTTAGTAATTTGTGATGGAATAAATAAGATCATGAGAACTTTGACTTATTTCCTTAAATGTAGCTAAACGTGTTAAAAATATTGGCCAAAAGTATGGTGACGAATGGACATATACTGTATACAATCCATTTATATATAAATAGAAAAGAATCAAAAGAGCTGAAAGTCTAAGTTTATGTTTCAATCTTCAAAGTCTGATTGTTTGTGCAGTTCCCTTTGCGGATTGTGTAGGCGGAAATTTGATGGTGTATGTTACCCGATGACTTTACCGACTACTGATGATTTGTACTCATGTTATGATAAACTAACCGACAGTTCTATAGATTTAAAGGAGGTTGTGACTGTGATTTTCTAATATTTCGTCTATTATTAGAGAGAAAATGCCTACAAAACAGTACTTGTAGGTGTTAAAGGCGATGAAAATGCAAAGAGATTGTCAAGTCAGTTTATTGCAAGATTTAGCAAACTTTTCGAGAATCTACTGGAGGAAAGTTTCAATTGTTTTCTGGATTTATGTGACGACGACGATGTAAACGTTCGAAGTCAAGTGGTGCACGATTTGTTACAGTTTTGTAAACATGCACGGGTGTTCGTCCCACGTGTTGCTGATGTTCTCGTTCAAATGTATCAAACAGATGATAAGAAGGTAACTAATCTTAACTAGTGTGCGATGTTTAGGAGCTGAATGTAATTTCTTTGGCTCTGTCTCAACTACTTCATTCTGAGCCGAAAGCGACCTTACTAGGAATATTCAATCGACTTCTTTCAATGAATGCAGAAAATTCTAGAGAAAATACTCTCAAATTCCTATGTGAACGTTTAAAAAGTCTACCAGACAATGTATTAACCAGTGATCTGGAGTCTTTTGTGGTTGAACAAACTAATCGAGTGCTACATGATGTTTCTGAGGATGAGTTTCCAATGTTAATCTCTTTACTATCATCCCTGAAATGTATGTCTACACTGACTGGCAGGCAAAAACTAGTCGGCATGATCTCTCAACAAGCTTTGCAGGCCGTTCCTACATTCAATGTAAGTCAGTTCGAAGTTGTGGTAATATGTAAAGGCTAGTGATCGGGCATGTATAGCTCAAGTTCGGGAGAGTTGTAGACAGGCTGCCTTATGTATATCTGTAAGTAACTTTATTTTATAGATATTTCCTAAACAGAAAAACGTTAATGCTCATGACTTGTACATATACATGTTGGAAAAATTCCTACCACAATTTGGTGACTTTGCTGAAGACACTTTCGACGAACGGCTGAGCTTACTTCAGTTGACCGCAGAGCTACTGTTTTTCCCAAGTCAAGCACTTGCATCGATAAAGTCAGAAGATATAACAAAATATTTAAACTCTGCTTTTAATATACTGTCAATGTTCTTGCCTAACATCCCTTCGGAAGAAACAGCTGACAACGTGGGTCACAAATATTTTCTATTAATAATCTTTAGTTGAAACAGCCTTCTATAGAAAAGCCAACATTAAACCAGATGGGTTTAAAGTTTTCGGAGTTAGAAGCAAGTTTGTTTTTATGCTGCCAGCTTGGATGTTATTATCCTCAATATTTTGGGGGGAAAGCGAATGATAATGAACCTGAGTTATCTGTTATCGAAGATGGAGTCGATAGATTACGTACTGTCAGACCTCGTCTCCAGTACTTAAGTCAGCTAGCACAAGATTATGCAACAACAATATCTGGTCAGTTGGATAAGAATTTACAGTCTGAAGAGAGCAAGCTTCGAATCATGGCTCACAGAGTGAGTTCTTTAGCTTTTCCAATAATCTGTTGAGGATATTTTATGGTCTCGGTTTTATTCAAATTGATGTTCAAAACCAAACAAAACGTCTCATTTAATAGGTAACTCCGATGTCACAATTAAGACTACTCAAATTTATACATATAGCTCAAATCAACAGCTATTCGTATCTTGAGCAGTGACCAGGTATGTTAAAAAACCATGTGACGTTATTGATGAAACCCTTTAAGTTTTATGGACGTGCTTCGGTCTTGGCACCCGGGCAGTATCGCAGCCCACACGCAATTAATGAACTGAACTGTCTATGATCATGGAAACTAATTCTCTTGCGTCAACGAACATTCAAATGATTCAATTATTATTATTGCTATTATTATTATTATTATTATTATTATTATTATTATTATTATTATTATTATTTACTGCGTCATTATTCACCCTCTTTTGTTCCTACTCTGTCTATACTTATTTTTTCGACTTATACAGCAGCTCGTCTATGGTGGAAATTCGACTGTATCTAAACGTTCTCGAGTCACTGTCCGGTTGAAAATTGTATGTTACCACCGAATATGAGTACTGAAGCAGTTTTTCTGAAACCACGTGCGCCGTTCAAACTGCCTGTCTTCAACATTCGCACACTTATGCAGGTCGGACAACAGATAGGGCTGGCTATGTCTTCGGAAAGTCTTCATATCGATGTCTGCTGTCTATCCGAGACCCGTATTCAAGACTCTGGCGAAGTACTACAAATTCGAACTCCATCTGTCACTTCAAAAAGTTTGTTTTACATGCGCTTATCCGGGGACCCTGTGGCATCTTCGTCTGGTGTTGCTGGCGTTGGTGTCGCACTAAGCGCTAGAGCTGAGGCAGCACTAATCGATTGGTCCCCATTAACAGTCGGTTATGTGCTGTTAGATTAGAGAGTTCCATCAAAGTGAGAAGAAATCGGCGTGAGGAACGATGTCTCTTCGTCATCTTCGCCTATGCCCCGACAGATTGCAGCCCGGATGCAATCAACGATGAGTTTTACCACCAGTTATCTGTTCTCCAGAAAGTGCGTTCGACAGATATTGTAGTACTAGCCGGAGACTTGAATGCTCAGGTCGGGCATCTAGGCACAGAAGAGGGTCGTTTAGGTGGCCGATGGGGACTCGTTGGTCGCAGGTCAGATAACGGGGACCGTCTAGTGCAACTGTGCACAGACCACAACCTGTTTCTGGCTAGCACTAACTTTCGGCACAGTTATCACCGATGTGCCACCTGGCGTCCTCCCTCTGCATCTCAAGCCTGGACTCAGATTGATCACATCGCGATCAGCTACCACTGGCGTGGTTATGTACAAGACTGCCGCTCCTTCTGGAGTACCTATCTGGACTCTGACCTTACCTTTCAGTGGACAACGAAGTGACCGCCATCAACGGATTGATGTCAGCAAGCTGGTTGCAACTTCTGTTGCTAGTAAGTATCGAACCGAACTAGCTTCTAGGCTAGCTACCATTCCACCGAAAAGTATAGATGAGCGTTGGTTGCAATTGCATGACGCCATGAAAATGGCGGCTACAGTCAGTTGTGGGTTTGCGAAGCGTCCCGCTTATAAACACTGGGTTTCTTCTGGTTCCTTACAACTCATTGAAGCCCGTCGGTCTACTCCGGGTGACCGTGAGTTTGACCACAAACGAAGGTTGTTACGTAGTGAAATTGTGCAAAGCTTGCGTAATGACCGAGAAGCCTGGTGGTCGGAGCGTGCTAATGAGCTGGAAGCAGCAGCTGCATCTGGTAACTACCGGAAGCATATATATTTGCCGCACTCCTACACCAATATATATGTGTTCAAATAAATAAATAAATAAATAAATAAGTTATATGGTGATATCTATTGTGGCCTATTTGTCGTGTGCAGGTTAATGTATTTGACTTCAAGACAATTTTTACCCCATGAGTCATGATAATACCATGCTAGCTACCTTAACTACTAAGCCACAACAGGAGGTGGGATCAATAAATGAAGAAAAGTAGGTAGAATTTACAGAAATACGAACGCAATATGCTGGGAATAGTCTCAGTATTAAAGCACTCGATTTGATCAGTAGCCATCTTTAGTCAATTTTTCATTTTGTGCCATCAGCTTTAAAGGCTTGCGTTGCTATCTACAGCTCAATAGATCATAGCTTTGCTTCTGATTACTGAAAAAAGATTAACTCAAGCAGTGTATTCTTCTAAAACCGAACCTATTGTGAAGACAACCTATTTCATACAGTGTAATTTGACCACTACTTATGTTAATTACCAAGCAACTGATTCTGTGTATGTTTGCAAACATTTCTTGGCTTCGATTGGTAAATAAAATTAACCAATATCATTCAACACACCCCACTTCCGAAGGACTTATCTTCTTTGTATGGATCTTCTTAAACGATTTGTTTAACCTCATTTCTACAAAGTGAGCTAAAAAATGGGGTATATTCGGCTCAGTTAAATGTATTATTTATTTATTTGAACATATGAACATTGGTACAGGGCGGCACCAAATGCATATGCGCCGCACAACAACAATGAGGTTGTGAAGAGATAGAAGATGTAAAGTGCATATGATGATAAGAAGAACAGCGAACAGAAATCAGTGTATGAGAGTGGAATAATAATGGTAATCATGGGAGAAACAGTTCAGTTAGCAAAAATATGACCAGAAAGAATCCTTTCAATTAAAGAAGTTACGTTCATTTTTTATGAAGAAAGTAAAAGACAGTTACGGCAAGATCGCCACTGGCTTCTATTCCGAGACATATCTGATAACGTCTCTAGCCACTATGTTTCACCATCTGTAGGACCCCATCCAGGGAGTTGTGAAGGACCAACAGATGCCAGTTATGTACAGCTTTCCTTCATACCACCACACCATTTCATACACTGACCGCTCGACTTTTTCCAACCAGTCCTAATGTCGGCAAACAATCCACGACGTGGAATTCTCTGGGACGACATTTGTAGGATAAGCCCAAGTCACCAAAGTGGATGTTTCAAGATAGTGCCGCCAATTGAATTATCGTCGCTATACCCGAACACACGATGCCGTACCCCCGCATTACTAACATGGTTTTGCCACTGGATTCAACAGTCTTTCAGAGACAAAGATTATCAAATACAGAGAGCCGTCTAATATCCTCAACTCGGAGATGTCAGGTTTTATAAGCATAAAGCAAAACTGCTCTCATTGACGTGTTGTGGATCTGACCTTTTACAGCCAGACTAACATTACGAATGTGTCAAAGATGGCCCAGATTGGCATAAGCCACTCTGGCTTTCACTATACGTGAATCAATCTCATCACTCACGCCACCACCAACACTTATACGGCTACCCAGACACACGAACTCGACTACTTTTATCTGCTCACTACCTAGGCTGAGTGCAGGATCAAGGTCCTGCTACTCTTGTAAAAGTACTTCCATAGATTAACTCACTTGAAACAAGCTTTCCGAAGCGACAGATGGAGAATGAATTTGTAGTACTTCACCAGGGTCTTGAATACGGATCTCGGGTAGACAACAGACATCGATGTTAAGACTTTTTAAAGATATGGTCAACCCTATCTGTTGTCGGATTTGCATTGGTGTGGGAACGTCGAAGAAGGCCAGCTTGGATGGTATATGCGGTTTCAGAGGGGTTGGTTCAGCATTCGAAGTTGGTGGTAGTATTCAACCTTCGACCAGTCAGTGACTTGAAATTGTCTATATAGAACAGGGTTTTCACCATAGGCGAGCTGCTGTATAAGCTGAAAAATAAAATACGCAAAATGAGAATAAAGGCGAGTACGTAAGGAACGCAGTATAAAACAAATAAAAAACAAACGATTGTAAATATGATTTGTTTGAATGAGCGTTGAAGCGAAAGCAATTTTTCCAGTAGTAACTATCACTGATTTGTGTGGGTGCTGGGACACTGCTCGGGTGCCCAGGTCGAAGTAGGTGATTTTCTTGGGGGGCCACACTCCTAGCTTTTCACTGAAAAGTCTAATCGACAAGGCAGTGGAGCAGCGTTGGGAGATGAAGTCCCATGGTAACCGGTGGCCAACAATAGTTTCGTACGCCATCCGTTCCCCCAGGATCCTGTAGCCTATGTGCACCATTTGTTTGAAATGAGGGTTTCCCAACTCCCCTAGGTGGACCCCCCATATCCACCGACCCGGTTAACGCGCCGGACATTCGCTTTTCGTCTCCTCAATTTCCTCAAAAACACCCACTTTGCGAAAAGTCAATGAGTAGGACTTCGAAGGCAGTGGCTGTATACGCGTGGGCATGTGAGGGTATTTCGATAGGAATAGCGGGCTCTCCCCATCCACCTTGGGAGTATTAAGTCGTTGTCAAGTTAGAACCTGGCATGAGTGTACGTCGGTCTGATTTGTCACACCTCACTTAAACAGCGAGAAAATATCAACATAACTAAATACAGATACTAGGATTCATGATAAAACCTAGCCACATGATTGTAAGATCAGAGTTTAAGTGACAATCATCCCAGTTTTTTTAGTCGTATAGATCAATAAACTTTGCTTATTACTGCGTTCTTGATAGGAAGACGTGTTGTATTGAAGAAAATTTTGTAATTTTGTATTGCTTTAATTTTGAATCTGATGAGTATCAGAGTGTATTTACAAGAAGAAGAATAAATGTTATAGATTTTTATAAGTAAAATTGTATATGATGAAGTTAGAAAAAACTGCTGGTAAATGTTCTGAAGGTAAAAACTGAGTGTATATGCAAGTTATATATCTTCAACTTAATTTTTGTGGGCTAATTTTATCATGAAACTTACACAGAACGTGGGTAATTCCAGTGAATATATATAAGTAAATAAGCAATTGTTTTTACATTTGATACACAGTGCTCATTTTATCGGAAAAAGGACGATCTTTCGTTCTGTGGAGCACTTTAGTCTCAAATCACTATGACTTGCAATGCACTTCATAACTACGTACATATTTTCCAATTAATCGAGAGTTAATTTACGTGTAGTATCAGTTAATTTGTTTACTTGTTTCTTTTTTGTTAGCTTATGATGAACATACAGCGAATGATACGGTGCTTTTTTCACAACCCTCCAATGTTCAAAACCATCAATGTAACATTGTCGTGGATTCAATCACCTGTTACTTCGATTCCAGGTACAAAGCGTCCTCTTTCCACGGATTCGGGTAATCACCATAGTACAGGTGTTCGACAACCACGTGGTGATAGACTATTGTATACTCCACCAATCGGTCAGTGGTCTCGTGTTGATACTATTGATTCGAATAAAGGCAGATTTCGATTTGGTCGTAGTGGTCGGGGGCGTGGACGGAACTTCTGAATTGACATCGTTTGTTTTGTGTTACTTACCCCTCTTTAATTGCTAGCTGTAAAATATTCTCTAACCAGCTGTTGATGCTATTCTGTAATTCAACACATTTTAATACTTGTATTTTTCCTTTTTGTACATGTATGATATTAGTAAACAACATCTCATAATGCTTGGTTTTAATTTTTGTTGTCAGCTGCGCGCATTCCACAGTATTTTAGAAAGCTACTCAGTATGTGAATGTAACAAGGCAACTTGCTGCAACTGGCATTCTAGTCAGGACACATGTCGACTTGTATTCCTTTAGTAGCTTTTTTCGTGAAACATGGCACCAAAAGAATAATGTACACCAACAAGGAAGTATAACCAAGAAGAGTCAGAATAATAAAAAATAAATATGCCTCTTATATGGATATAAATATCGTCTATAACATTAACTAGGCGGATAGTTCCCGTTCATCTGGGTCATGATGTCATCCGACTGCGCAAATTGAGTCAAGTGGTTTTCTGAGGAGACAGTTCTCAAATTTTGACCCCAAGATGTAATCCGGAACTGAATGAAGCAGCGTCAAGGAATACAATCATATGGTAGCCAATGCCCAAAGTTGGCTCATATGGTATTCGTTCATCCGCCCAGGACCCTTTAACCCATGAGGATACTGAATTCGAAATCAAGGGTTTCCAACTACCGTAGGCAGACACTATATATATACAATAATTCAGTTTAAGCTTCATAAATTTGCGACCTTAGCCACACCATGTTAATGTAGTGTGTGAAACTTCTTTGCTTGAGGGGATAAATGAGAGCAGTTGGATAATGAGAATATGTTCTACACACTCAGAAGTATCAGGGTAGTTAGGGGCGGAATAATATGAATTTCGATAGTCGTTAATTTATTTCAAAATGCATCAGTAATTTTTAGCATAATTCAGATCACAAAGTAATGTTCTTATGGAGTTCGTGGATGATCTGGACCTATTGATATCCCGGGATAATCAGTTATTAGTTCTAAGCCAAATTATGAGTAGGATATGTTGACGGATGTACGTTGTTGACCAATATTCAGCCTAATTACCCAAGAGGGACAGACGGGTCAATGGTAAAAAAAGTCCGGCTTTATTTTCTGGGGACATCTATACATTTTGATTCGAGTTAGGCAATAAAGGCTTCATATTCGATTTTAGTTTTCTTACTCAAGTAACTGTTTGGGTTCGCGCATGAAAACCATATATACAGGTTTTCGACTTAAACGACCATCCAAAATAAAATATTTAGAAACTGGTTTGTATGACTATATTTTTAAGATATAGAACTAGTATGAAACATCCCGAGTTTGTTATAAAACTACACTAGTTCTGTCTTAATTTCTGTTACTTCAATTGTAGCACTCCGTTTCAAGTGTAAACCTTGTCTTTTTAGTTTTTATATCCTATTACTTATTATCAATAAGTAGCTTGAATCTGCCGTTCAATTTTCACTCCTAAACTTATGTTAATAAGTAGAAAAATCATGTTAAAATAAATCTTAGCAAATTTTAGCCTTCAAATACGTTTAAATGTAGATATCCATTTGTCCTTACATGCGTTTACATTGCATGTTTTGAAAATTTCTACTTGTTGAATTTGAAAAAAATCAGGAAAGCGCAAAATTCGACGGTTCTACTGTTTGAAATCTCATCCTACGCAATGATCTTAAAGCCAATAAAACTGGAAGTCAAGAATGATGGGATGTGTGCGCATATTTAAATTATAGGCCGTTGTCATAATTTGTAGGGTTCAAGCTGTCTATTTTTCGTAGGAAATGCTCAGCACGGCGTACTTTGGTTCAGACGGACTGAGTGTGTTCATTTAAGTATGTGTTCAGTAAAACCACTAGGGTGAACATCAATGTTGAGGACTTATGGCTATATATTTTGGGGATTTATCTGTCACTACGAATTGGTCTCAGTAGTACTGTTTGATTTTGGGAATCAACCTTTGATTTGTTTGACGTTTGTGCACCTATCAATCGCTTTAATTTCTTGAAATAAAGTGTAGTCTCTTAAAGAAGGTAACAATAATGTCACTTCTACTACTGTCTTCCTGACATGAGATATAGATCTATTTAATAAGTCAGCCTGTGATAAACAGTCGAAAGAAGGGTAATATTTAAGTTACATTTAGCTTCATTATATATTGGAGCTCACTTAGTAACTATTGATAACAAGGGAGCTTTGAACAGTTGTTTCAACCTAGTATGAGATTACTCACCTGTGAACGGGTGGATTAAAACTCGGTGGTCTATTTACAACACGTCCGATGCGGGACAGAATGGAGTGGAATTTGATCCCTGGAGGGGTTGCTAGTACTCCTTAATAAGGAGTATGATACTTAGATCAATCGGGTGACATCAAATAATCACAAAAAATTAAATTCATTCCAATATAATCACAATTCTCGCAATCAAAGTTTTATTTATTAGCTTGGATATTGATGTTTTAAATTGAGACTCCAGGGAATACATCGTATTTAAAACTAACTGGTAAAGAGTCACTATTTTCTACCAAACCTTGTATTTCATTATTGATCATCAAGAAAATTTATTCGTTGACTGACACATCCTGTATTTGGATTCCTAGACACCAAATTCTTAACCCAAGGAATCTTCGACTCTTGAAACCCGAACAGAAAACAAAAGGTAGATAGTCGGAAGATGTTGTTGTTTGCGAAATTGAGAGGACGAATAGCAAATGTCCGGCACTTTAACCGGGTTGGTGGATATGGGGGATCCATCTAGGGGAGTTGGAAAACCCTGATTCCAAACAAATGGTGTACGTGGGCTCCCGGATCTTGAAGGAACAAATGGCGTATGAACCAATCGTTGGTCACCGGCTACCATGGAACTGCATCTCCTTACGTTGCTACACTGCCTTGTCGATTAGACCTTTCGGTCAGACGCTCCGGGTGTGGCCTTCTAAGAGAACTACCTGCTTCCATTTGGGTACCCGGGCAGTATCGCAACGCTCACATAAATCGAATGATCTATGTAGCGCATATATATTTGCTGCCTCATTGTACCAATGTTTATGTGTTTAATAATAATAATAATAATAATAAATAACAGTCAGAAGATACTTTAATTCCACGGTTAGTTAATGCACAGAAAACAAGGATATTTACGATATCATATGTGACCACGGGCCTGTGAAAAGTTTGGAAAAAGTGTTAAAATTGGCAACAGTTTCGGTCAGTCAGTGCAAGATAGCAATTTACGATATGGTTTCAATGAAACTCAACGATTTTCAGAACCCCAAAATGAAAGTTTACAGTATAACGTAGTGGTCCATTTTATCTCATGTTTGTAACATGATTTGTAATATAACGCACGTAATTTAACTCTCGTTAGCTCTTCTAATTTTACTGCCGGTACCAAGCCCGGATAAAGGGGGGTCGGGTGTGTGGTTAGCGACCGTATACCACTTAAGAGAATCTTGCCAAAAATATCGTTAACCGGAAATATCGTTTGAACGATTTAAACCCCACCGAGTGAGTTGGAGGATCTTTATTTAGTAGAGTTATGATGCCTAGTGGTGAAAGCTGAAATTCTTCGGAAATCATGAGGTTTACGTCCCTTTTAACAACCAGAACAGTAACTAATATTGGTGGGAAGAATGTCTGAATAGTGTGGGAGGTCGCGAAAACCAGTCACGAAACTACAAAAACGAAAAGGTACAACTTTACCATGCTTGGAATAAGTGTAATCAGCATGGACATTAGATCTGTCTAGAGCGGAGAAGCATCAGGATCAGAAAACATACCAACTGAAGCTGAGATTCAAGAACCGGGAGTTTTACAAATTTAATTTAAATGTGACATGAGAGTTTGATACAAAACTGAAAATTATTATCATTCCCAAAATGTTGTTTTATAAAATACAGAAAATACAAATTTGATAATTATAAACAATCAACTATCAATATACAGTCGGTTACAGAAACATGAACTATAGTGAGTTCAAACCCAGTTATATCCGAAGCAGAATGTTTAATTTGTGGATTGTCCAATTGATAAAAATACGATATCTTATCAAATATACATGAAATTGTGAAAGTACCAGAGGATGAAGAAACAGAAAATTCTATGAATAACACACTGAGTCCAGGATTAAATGAATCTCTATTAGCCCTGAATAATTTTCAAGCTGAACTCCAACCATAACAGACATATGGTTCACGTGATATTTATCTAGAAAGCTTGATAGATTTGTATGTAGAAAATGATCGGAGCAACACTATGAATACAAGTGTATCAAGTGAAATTCATAATCATTCTGATACAAATACTTCTAAATATAAGTTGTCCTAATGATTCACATAATTCTTTTTAATGAAATTCCTCATAAAAACAAGGAAAATGTATCGAATGAATCAAATCCCAATAGGAACTTTAATGAAACTTTGTTAGTTGCTGATTGTTCTAATGACTTATTATTTCCCAATGAAATTCTTAAAAAAATTTAAAGGAAATATCTCTGAATGATTTCATGAATGGATCAATGTTAGAGCACCATTGAAAACCTGGAATTACTGGACATCCGTTTCGGCCTAGTATGGAAGTGCGCATCCACGATCCCACACACAGCACTTTTGGTCGCGTGCAAATGCTCAGGAGTCCCACACTAGAATGAAACGGACGTTCAGTGCTTCCATATTTTCAGTGGTGGTCTAACATTTATCCATTTATGAAATCAATAAAAACTGGACAATATCCATAACCCTATACTGGAAATATTTCAGAAGAATGATATCCTGATGATGTCATACCAGATGTTATTTGTCCTCATAGTGTATTTGTTTCTGGTGGAAAAGTTTATCATTATGAAGCACAAGTCCTAGATAAGTTTAAACCTGATTACAGTGCAGATGTTTACATTTGAATAATATCTAACACGAACAGTACATCATAAAATAACCTAATATATGTATTATGGTAGACGTGACTAACCTATCAAAGTAATTATTACCCATATTTTGTTGTTCAGTGCTCTCTTCTTCTGTTTTATTTACTCTAGTTGTAGATGGTTATAATTGATTTGTTATGACACAGGAAATGAGCTTGAATACCGCATTCATACTTCAAATGGATGTTCATTTCAAAAGAATAATTAGTTCTCAGTTGATACATTTCATTGAT